GTTAGAAAGAACAATGTCCCCGCATAGTGTTATTTGATAGGGAACCGCAGGGGGGGGGAACCCGGCTTGGCTGGGATGGTATGAATTCATATTTAGGATGGACATGTGGTCAGAATCATATATGATTTACAACGCGCGCGGGGGAACCGATAAGTCCGGGGGGGGTAGAATCCATTAGTCTTTGTAGAAAGGAGAATCCACTCTGCTGAACTTGACGTCGTCATCTCCACTGCTCGCGCAAACATCCCACCCTCCCACCCGCAACTTGTTTGAAACTCGTGATGCGTGGGACGGCGGCGCCACCGATGACGACGTCGATGATGACATCCTCACTGCCGGTGCTCGTCACCGTGGGTCGATGATGCAGGTGAGCATATCGACCATCCGAGAATCTATGCGGTGCAGTTGGTTTTAACGAGCGAGTTGGCGCAGCTCGTGCTCTGGCAAACATCCCACCCACCCACCCGCAACTTGCTTTGCAAATCCCATGCGGTGGCGATTGCAATGAGTGCGTGGCGTTAGCTGGTCCATCTCTGCGGCCGCGCCAACCCAAGCGCGCGCAGCGGCCAGCTAGTTTGGCGCCGCCGACGCGGCCGCGGTGGCGCTGGCCGTTGGGCGCGTCCCAGCTGGCACTTCACTGCGAGTCGGCTACTCGGGCGTGCGCGGTATCATGACAACGTCGACACCAGTAGACGCGATGATGATAGTAGCAATGCGTGTGGCGATGTTGACAACGACGGCGGCGCGGCCAGTTCGGGCGCCGATGCTGATCGCGCCGTCGACGATGACGGCGGTCTGCGTCGGCGATGCAGGTTTTGGAACGAATTCGACGTGCGCGCGCGGCCGACTGGCGAGTGGCCCGCGTGGTTTGGTTGGGCACGGATCGCGCCCTTCCAGCGCGAGCGCAAGGGCGCGCGAATGATGTCGGCATGCGGCGCCGCTGGCCCGCTTGGCAGAATTCCAGCAACAGGTTGGGATACAATTTTCGGTTTTCTCGAGAATGCGCAACCATTGTTCTTATATGTTGCGAAACCATGTGTTCTTATATGTTTGGGGCGCTCGATTTTGAGCCCTTGCGAAACCGAGAGTTTCTGAAGGATTTCGGCATGTGCGCGCGACGGCGCGCGCGTGTGCACCTCGCCCCATGTTTTGTGCAAGGAAATGTGGGAAACTTATGTGATTTTTGATAAACGAGTGCGCGCGCGTTATATTTCCTGGGGGAGGGCGGCGGGGGGGGGGGCGATGCCGTCTGTGCTGGACTTGTACGATTTCATATTGAGGATGGACGATGGAGCATGATAACGCGTAATTTCTATGGGAAATGCGGCGTCGATAATCGTGGGGGTCGGGGGGGGTGGGTAGAGTTTATTTTTTTTTTAGCGCAAAAGTATGCGCTGTGAAAGGAGAACTCACATGTGGAACTCGCAGTTGCCAGCTCTACTGCTCGCGCAATTATCCCGCCCGCCCACCCGCGCCTTGGTTTGCAAAACCCATGCGGCGGCGATTGCTATGAGTGCTTGGTGTTGGCCGGTGCATGCCCGCGGCCGCGCTGGCCCGCGCAAGCTCGCGCGCGCATGGGCCAGCTAGTTTTGGCGCGACCGACGCGGCCGCGGTGGCCCTGGCCGCTAGGCGCTGCCCCGCGGGCGCTTCCTTGTGTTTCGTGCGCGGTATCGTGAACAAGTCGACAACGGTAGACGCGGCGATGATGATAGCGATGCTGGCGACGACGATGACAGCGACGACGGCGCGGCCAGCGACGGTGCCGGTGCTGATCGCGCCGGCGTCGACGACGGCGCCCTCGCGTCGGCGATGAAGGTTTTGCATGAGTTCGACGCGCGCGCGGCCGACGCGGGAGAGTGCCCGCATGGCACTGTTTGACGCCTATCGTGCCCCCCCCCAGCGCGCGCAGGGGCGTTCGAATGATTTCGACATGGGGCGCGAGAGGCTCGTTTGGCATATCGGAATGAACACGTGGAAAATTCGCTGGAATTTTCTAGAATTTGCGAGTGCGCGAGGGCATTTTTTCCAAAGAACTGATGTCGCAAAACCTTGTGCCAACTTTTGTGTTCGAGGCGCTCGATCTTGAAATCTTTGCGACGCATTTGATTTTTTGACAGATTTCGGCATGCGCGCGCGGCGACGCGCGCGCGTGCACTATATGCACGACCGCGCGCGCGCAAGGGTGTTTGAGCGATTTCGACATGCGCGCGCGAGGGGCCGATTTGGTAGCACTTTATGACAATGTTGAGTAACCGTTTCCGGAAGAATTCGCTCGATCGCGAGCGCAAGCTTGTTTTGATCATCTTCATTGCGAAACCATGTGTTTTGAAATGTTGTCGGGGCGCTCGATTTGGAAATTCTTGCGGAACCTATTGTGTTTGAAGTATTTTGGCATGCGCGCGCGACGACGCGCGCGCGTGCACTTCGTCCCATTTATTGCAGGGGGTCCGTGGAAGCTGATGATTTGTCATAAGCGAGTGCGAGCGCATAATCTGTTTGGCATGGATGAGGGGGGGCCGTTGCGGCCCTGGCTGGGACGGAGTGAGTCCATATTAGGGATGGTCGATGGGGCAGAATCGTGCGCAAATTTAATACGAAAAGTGGGGCGGTTGAATCCGGGGTTCGGGGGTTGGGCGGGGGGCTGATCTGGGTACTCGTTCCGACAGAATAATCTACGCGGTGCAATGCGCCCTGCCGAACTTGAGATTGCCGGCCCCACTGTTCGCGTAATCGTCCTGCCCGCCCGCTTGCAACTCGGTTTGCGAAACCCATGCGGAGTCGATTGCCATGGGTGCTTGGTGTTGGCTGGTGCATCTCCGCGGCGGCGCTAGTCCGCGCAAGCTCGCGCGCGCAGGGGCCAGCTAGTTTGGCGCGACCGACGCGAACGCGGTATCATGGCAACGCCGACGACGGTAGTCGCGATGATGGTAGTAGTGACGCTGGTGACGATGTTGACAACGACGATGGCACGGCCAGCGACGGATCCGATGCTGATCGCGCCGACGACGATGACGGCGTCCTCGCGTCAGTGGTGATGGTTTTGGGAAGAGTTCGACATGCGCGCGCGGCCAATGTGCGAGAGCGGCCCTCATGGCTTTATTTGAAACGGATCGCGCCCCCCCCACCACCACGCGCGCAAGGGCGTTCGAATGATTTCGGGATGCGGCGCGAGGGGCCCGTTTGGGAACATTCCATGAACATGTTGGGAACCCAATGTTTTTTTTGTTTGTTTGTTGTTTTTTTTGTTTATTACTATTATTATTGTGATGATGATTATATATATATATGTATTAAAAAATACAAGAATTCGTAATAACGCGAACGCAAGTTTTTCGTTGCTTGAAAATCCGCGTTGCGAAACCATTTGTTTATTTTCCGAAACAATTTTTTCCCACCCATATGTTGTTTTGACACAAGCTTGCGCGCGCGACGTCGCGCGCGTGTGCACTTCGTCCCATGTTTTGCAAGGGGTTGTTGAAACCAATTGATTTTTGATAAACGAGTCCGCGCTCATACCGTTTTTTGCTAAGGATGACGGGGGCGTCGATACTGCTTCCCCTGGGATGGTGCGAGTTCATGGTTCGGATGGGCGATGGGGCAGTACCACAGCGGGTGCCGAAATGGGGGGCGGGGGGATCTATTCTCCTTTTTTATATGAAAAAAAAGAAAAAGAAAAACGAGTCTATGCGAAGGCGACGGCGGCAACGGGCGGCACCCGTTGCAAAAGCCGCCACTCGCCCCGAGCGGCGGCGACAGCGACGGCGACGGCGGCGACGGGCGGCACTGCCTGCAAAAACCGCCACTCACCCCGAGATGGTTGAGCCAAGTAAGAGAAACCTTAAGTGCAAACAGTGTTTGGAGAATAAGAAGAACATTCTGAATGCACATGCTAATACTAAGATTGTTGATGCAACGAACATTGTCAGGAATACGATTATCCCGAACAATGATCAAACGACTGCTACTACTAATTTTGATAATCGTACCACTCTGAGTCTACTTTAGGATGTCACGATCATTAATGATACAACGGTTGTTAACATATCATTATCCTTATTATTCTTAGAAGTATAGTTACCTTTATTCGTATGCGTAATAGCATCCGTAAGGTTGGTAGTTCCAACGATGATGATACGAATAGTGGTCTTCAATGGTTTGATGATGATACGTAATTCTGATCGTCGTCTTCAACATATTGTTAAGACTGAAGCGATTTATGAGAAGGGGAATCATATCACTGCGACTGCTAGTACGAACACTCATGATGATACTAAGAGGAGGTGGAGGGAGGAGGAAGAAGGAGGAAGTTGGAGGAGGAGGAGGATAATGAGGATGAGGATGAGGATGAGGATGGGAAGAAGGATGGGGAGGAGGAGGAGGAGGAGGATGAGGAGGACGAGGAGGAGGAGGAGCAGGAGGAAGAGGAGGAGGAGGAACCAATGAGAGTGAGCAGTGGTTCAGGAGCAGGAGCAAGGGCACGTGGAAGACTAGGATGACGATAAGAAGGATGAACAGGGACACATCAACGATCATAAACGCTAACGAGAGGAAGCAGGCGGGACGAACGAAGAAGGGAGGAAGAGGATGGGGAGGACGCGAGAGGGAAAGCAGCAGCCATAACAACATTCCAGATCACAACTTTGATCAACTTGGTTTTATCCCTCGCGAGGGGCGTTACAGGGTAGCACTATGGCATTGGACACTGGAGACCAGAGCGAGTGCAGGGTGCAGGGCGTCTCGGCCGCGCAGCCTGGTGGCCCCGCAGGGGGGCCTGCGGACTTCGGAGGTGTTCTGCTGGCCTTGCAGACTCCATTATAGTGGTGGCCCATGCCAAAAAACACAAACACCCTGATTGCTTCCAGGGTGCCCTGGGTTCCTTGGGTTTCCATGGTTTCGCCATGGAAAGCGTGACGTTCCCACACCAGAAATCAATGGACGTCCTGGGGTCTCAGGGTTGGGTTTCTTGTGGAAGGTTTCTTGTGGACTGACCTCCGCTGTAGGACAGTGACCTCCTGGCGCTGGGCTGCAGGCAGGTCCTGTTCAAGCTGTCAGGCGATGGCCAGTGCAAGGAGGTGACACTGGACAGCGCTCTGGGCCCAAGGACTTTCGAGGAGTTCCAGGCAGCCTGCATACTCATGGGGTGCCCTGGCGCCGGGAAAGGTACGTGGTGCAGTTCTGCATTTTCTTTCGAAGCTTTACTTTTGGGACGAGGATTTTGATGTCTTGCCAAAGTTTTTCCGCATTGTGCTTTCACCAAGGGGCTCTTACTTTGCTTCCAAGGAGCTGGTTGCGTTTTCTGGATTTTCGTCTCGTGCCCACCCCGTTGCCGCCCTGTTTGCTGCCGCCCCGTTGCCGCCCCGCTGCCGCCCCGTGGCCGCTTGCATTGTCTTGCGTTGCTTTGCATTGCTCTGCGTTGCTTTGCGTTGCATGGCGCTGCCGTGCATTGATGTGCATTGCTATGCATTGCTTTGCGCACCATTGTTCCGTTTGCATTGCTTTGCGATGGTTTGCATAGCTTTGCGTTGCTATGCTTTTTCGTATCGCTGCTTGTCATTGTTTTTTTTTGAGTTCCGCCGCAGCGGTTCCACCAGCTCACGGTGTAGGGTCCACGCTGGGATCCCCTTCCATGATGACAGAGCGTAGACCCCAAAGAGTTCTTTCTCGGAGCAACATGTGTGACACCAAATGGACCCACGGGATGCCAAACCACAAGAGGTGAAGCAGCCATTCGGTGGGTGCGTTGGTTAAGGAATGTGACCAGGCGGCCTCAGACCCTGGAGGATTCCTTACCTAACGAGGGCGGCGGCGATGTCCATGGCCAGTCCGCGGTTGGAGTTGCACCGGCTTCCAGACCCCCGATTCCTCGTCCAATGGTGCCTTGTCCAACGTCCCTACCGCAGCAGGCCAAGCAGCCACAGGGAGATCCTTGGAGGCCATCGGAGGCCGCGAAGCCATCGCTCAGTCCGAAACTTTCTGGCCGCAGGAGGCCGCAGGAGGGCCTATATACGAGACCACGCACCGACGGCCCGGCCACGCAGCCAGGACCGCTTCCGCACAGCGCCAGCCAAGACGCCCTCAGCGCAAACGCTGCCTGGGAACTCCAGGCCCCCCTCGCGTTGTGAGAACAGCACGGCGGGTTTTTTTTCGTCGTTTTCGGCCTCTGGGGGCTCTCGGCGGGCCCTGGGGCCGTCAGAGACAGACTCCGGACGAGAAGCCGATCCCAGGGAAGAGGTCCAGGCCTCTGGGCTGGGGGTCGAGGCTGTGAAAGAATCACGACGTCGGGGTGTCTGTGAATGCAGTTCCATGTGATCAAGACTCCAGGCGAGCGAAGGGGCTCACGGGCCATCCCTCCCGCGAGACTTGCCAGTGGCTCTCGTGCTCCTCCGTAGCCGTTGTTGCTCGAGCGTTTTTGTTGCCTGCCTTGCGCTCGCAGCCTCCCCAACGTCTCAGACTCTCTGTCTCCCACCTATGGGACGTGGTGGCTCCGACTGAACCCTCTGATGGGCGTCGTGCTAGGCTGCGGCGGGCACTGCGAGGAGTGCGCCGCGAACTGCGGCAGGGCCCCCGGCTCTGGCTGTCTGTCGGCCCATCCGAACAAGCCCGTGGCGCACACGCTGAGCGTCGCGCAGGACGGCCTCGACATTCCGCTCTCCGCGCCGCAGCGGTACAACCTTGCTGGCATCGACTGTCCTATAGCACAGGCCGTGTGCAGCGACTACGAGCTCCGGCCCGGTCACGGCGCAGACGACGGGCTCTTCGAGGACGCGGCGCGCAGCTTCGCGGAGCTCTCGGACCAGGTGCTGCCTTTCCCAGACTGCGTTTCTGCAGGCCGAGGCACCGACGTACCCAATCTCGGTCAGCGCAAGGCCATCGCAGCGCTCGAGGACGAATGCCGCTTCAACGCGGGCGCGGTGCAGAAGGTCCGCCTGCTCTCAAATGCATATGACCACTGGCGATCAGTCCGTGGAGACGGGAACTGCTATTACAGGACGGTCGCCTTTGGCGTCCTGGAGTCCCTCGCCTGCGCTGGCGAGTGGCAGAGGCTGGAGAAGGTGGTCGCGACCCTCAGGGAAGTCGACTACGAGGAAGGCTCGGATGAGCAGCGCGCCCACGCCCAGCTGCTCCGGCGGCTGTCCTCCCGCGACGACCTCCTTCAGCTCGAGGCCTGGGTGGCCCAGGACGCGGAGCTTGACCAGGCGCTGATCCGCGCGTGCCGGCGCCTGGCGAGGCTGTTCCTCGTCCGCAACGGTGACCGGCAGTCGCCGAGCGGCGCCACGTACGCCGAGCTCGTGCACGCCGAGTCGTACGCGGGGGTCGAGGTCGGTGGCGAGCCCAGGGGAGACGCGAGAGGGGGCAGGCCTTCTCAGAGGGCGGCGGGGCTTCTCAGAAGCCCTCACGCCTTCCGAGAGGCCGTCTGCGGCTTGGGAGCAGGCCTGCAAGCCTTCTCAGAAGGCGCGAGGGCTTCCGAGAAGCCCCGCCTCCTTCAGAGAGGGCCTGCCCACCCTCACCTCCCCCCCGGGCTCGCCGCCGACGAGGACTACTGCGCGAGCGTCGTGGACCCGATGGGGCGCGACGCGGAGACGCTGGCCTGCTACGCGCTGCCGCTGATGCTGGGCGTCGGCGTGCGCACCTGGATCCTGGACCGCCGCGACGCGGTGGACCTGGTCAGCTGGGACGCGCTCGGCCCCGGCGGGGAGGTCGACGTGCACGTGCTCTTCAAGCCCGGGCACTACGACCTGCTCTACCCGCGCGCCGGCAGGGACCGCGGCGGCCGCGAGTTCGAGGTGCTCGAGGACCCCGTGCCCGCCTGCTTCCTCCCCGAGCCTCGCCCAGGCCCGTGCTCCGTGGCGCGGGCCGGCCCTGCGATGCCCAGCGCGGCACCCGCGAACACGCCGCGGTCTCTGGTCGGCGAGGCTCTCGGCTGGCTCACGCGGGGGCCGTTCCCGCTGTGAGGCCGCGCGGGGCTGTGGTCGGGGGCGTCCAAGAGGGGTGTGATGATTGGGGGGGGATATCAGGGCAGGGGCCATGACATCTCAGATTTCACGGCCCCCTCTTCTCGTTTCAATGGCCCCCCTGGGCGCCGCGCACGTGCCTCGGGCCATGGTTTGCGACCCCTGATGTGGGGTCGGAGGGCGAGGGGATGTGGATACGGAGACCGGGTCACCTGCAGGGGTGCGGAAAGAGGTGCGCTTCGCGGTCTGGGCCAGGATAGCGGTTCGTTCTCCCAGGGGTCGGCATGGGAGCGCGAATGTACGCGATCAGTTTCGCTATTGCGCAGCGCGGATCGCGACGTGAGGTGGCCCAGGCAGAGGAGGGGAGGGCAGGATGACATGGAATTCGTCATTGCATGCTTCTCGTTGCTGTTCGTGTCCCCCGCGACGAGCCAGCGCCCCCAGGCCGCCCTTCTCCTGCCTCTCCGCCCCCCCTGTTCTCCCGCGCAGTTCCCTTCCGTACCCGTTTCCGATCGAGTGCACGACTCTGCGTGGCAGACCTCTCTTTTCAGCCACTGCGTCACGCCGCGAACGCGTGGGGCTGCATGCGGCTGCGTTGGTCGACCGCCGCTGTGCGAGGCTGCTTCCGAGTGCCGTCCTGCTCGACGGGCCTCACGAATACCAACTCCTCCTCCGGCCCGCAGCGCTGCGGGAGCCTCAGGGCGCGCTTCGAGGAAGGCGCGCCGAGGAGGGGCCCCGCAGACCAACCCCTGGAGGGAACTGCTCCCCTCGAGGATGCGTGGGTGCGGTGGGTGGGGAGTAAGGGGCGGAGGGGGCGCCCTTCGACGTCCCCATCGCTGTCCGCGTTCCCGTTCACGTTCACGTTCCCATCCCCGTCCTCCTCCCCTCCCCTTCCCCCTCCCCCCTTTCCCTTCCCCTCCCCTTCCCCTCCCCCCTCTCTTCTCCCCCTTTTCTTTTTCTCCCAGTTTACCCAGAGTTGCGCATCCAGTGCCCTGTGAGCTACTTGTACCTGCTGCGCGACCTTTACCTCGAGTACCCTGCTGAGCTACCGTGAGCTACCTGTATCTCGCCAGTCCCAGGTTCTCCCCGAATTTCTTCCTTCTTCCTTGCCCAGCAGCTGCGTTGTGGCCAGCGCTGCAGCCCGCTGCCATGCGGCCAAACACCAGCCTCTCCGTGGTTGGCCCCCGGGGTGGGGGCAAAACTCCAATGCACAAGCGCACGAGAGCGAACACTCGACGCTCCGGCCCCGTCGACGGTCACGTCGGGGCCGCCGTCTCCCGACGCTCGGACGTCTGCGTCACCTCCCCCACCGGAAGCGGTGCCCAGCCGTCCCCTGCCGGCCTCGAGGGCCCCTCCGGAGCCCCGCCGCCCGCCCGCTCCCCCCGAGAGGGGTGCGCGAGGCCGCCCCCCGCGCGCCCCCTGGACGGCGAGCGGGCGCGCTGGAGCCGCTCGAGCTCCCTTCCGCGGGCGAGGCCCCGCCGGAGGCCCAGGAGGCTCCGTGGGCCAACCCCCGCAGGCCGCGCGGGCGGCGCCTCCGCCGTGCTGCCGACGGGCGCTCGGCGAGGGGGTCGGCCCCTCGGCCACCCCTTGCCTCACGCAGCTTCTGTCCAGGGCCCGGACAGGAGCTGCGTGAGGCAAGGGGGCTTTTCGAACTCGAGCTTCTGGACTTCCCCCCGCCCGAACTCCAACCCGAACTTTTATTCATTTTCCAAGGATGGCCGCTCCTGCCCCGCTCAGCCACTTACAAGTCCAGGCTCTGGCGCCGTGTGCCCCGGACGACTCCGCGCAGGCCGAGGCCGCGCCCTGCCGCCGTCCCGGGCCCGCGGGTGCTGGGAGGGCGGCGGCCGCGCCCTCCGTTCGCACTGCGGGCGGGGCCGCCTTCGGCGTCGCAGGTCCCTGGTCTTTCCCCACGCTGTTCTGCCCGCCGATTTCGCTTACCACAGCACCCGCCATCTTTTCCAACCTGCCTTGCCCGCCTGTCCACCTACGCGTCAGTTGTACCATCGCTGGGGTTTGCCCCAGCCACGCGCACGTGATGGCTTTCTGTGTACGCTTGCTGTGCTCCGCGCCGTACGTATCTATATGCGCTACCTGTGCCCAGTGTGCTGCCTGCGTGTTGCGAGCCTTCTGTATTTGGTCGAGGCCTTCTCAAACGCCTTTGGACATTTCAGTCTTGCACTGGTCGATCGCGACCCAGTCAGCCTTTGTCGTTACGACGGGGAGGTTCTGGTGTTTTTTCTCATCCCTGTGTTTTTTGATGGCATCTGCCTATGCCACCTCTTCCTGTGGATTTCTTCTCCGTCCATCGCCCCTCGACATCCCCCTTTCACTGCACTCTCGCCGTCTAGTGCGTCTCACCTTTGCACGCGTATCCACCTGCGTCGTGCAGCGACTAGGCGTGATTCGCCATACTAGAAGTGTGCTGTTTTTTGTTATCCGCGGGCCTGACAGTGCTTGCCATCTGTGCGCAATTCGACAGACAAGCGTTGCTCCCCTGGGGTTGCCCAGTGTTCTGGGGTCTGTAAAGGCGGCACTCCATATGGGGAGCCTGGTAAAATCTGTCCCCCAGACTGACCAAGTTCCTGCAGGCACTACTCAGTCTATGCAATTCGTGAGTCACGCGTAGCTCCGAGGTGGGTACTGTGCGGCGCGGCGAGCGCGCCTCAACCACGGACGCGAGGCCCTCTCGTTACTCCAGTCGTTGTGACAACGCGATCTCAGAGCGCAGCGCCGTCTGGTGTGCCAGCATAACCTTGCAGACATTTGCAGCATGCGTCCGATCTCCCCCTCCTTCTCCTTCTCCCGCTCCCCCTCCTCCTTCCCCCCTCCTCTCTCTCCTCCTTCACCCTCTACTCCCCTCCCCTCCCTTCTGGAAGCTTTCTGGGACAGCTTCGGACAGCTTTCAGAAACGTTGGGCAACCACTGGAAGCATTCTCAGCTTGCGCGATCTTTCTGGGGACGACGCCCAGGCGTCTCGAAGCCTCCGAAGACCTCCACACACTGCCTTTCCCAACTCCGCCCCCCTCCCCCCGACCTCCGTCGTCGTTCGGAAGCTGGGCGTGGGCTGGCAAATCCGTGGCTGCTAAAACGGTTTTCCTGGAAAAGAGAAACAAACACCCGGAAGAAAATTCAGCGCACGAAGGAGCGAACGGGCTGCTTCCCGGAAGGAGAAAACACAATCTCCTGGAGCTCCGTTTTAGCAGCCATGGGTCCGCCAGCCCTTCTTTGACCTTTGTTGTCGTGTTTTCTTTTTTCCACGACGTGGGCATCCTCGAGATCTGCACCCCGCCGCACTCAGTACCGTTGCTCGTCGCGGGCTCCTCCATCTCCAGGAGGAGGAGGAGGAGGAGAAGGAGGAGGAGGAGGAGGAGAAGGAGGAGGAGCCCGCGAAGGAGGAAGGAGGAGCAAACATCGCGGAGGAGGAACAAAATCCTGGAAGGAGGAACAAGCATCCCGGAGGAGGAACAACAATCCCGGATTTGTTTTCCTCCTGCTCCTCCAGGAGGCGGAGGAGGAGGAGGAGGAGGAGGAGGAGGAGGAGGAGGAGGAGGAGGAGGACCCCTGTGCAGCCTCCGAGGGACCGCGCCGACTGATGGCGGTGGACACGAAACGCTGCTGGCGCTGGGCGCGACAGAGCCACACAAGGACGGCCCGAGGAGTCCTCCTCCTTCCTCGACGCCTCCGAGGCCCGCGAGGCCGGGCGCCCCTCCGCGGCGCGCTGCAGGCCCGGGGGCTGGGGGGGCCTGCCTCCCGGGCCTCCAGGGGGGCAGCGGCCTGTGCGGGCCTCGTGGGTCGGCGTTCCGCCTCCTCCCCTCGCACGAGGGGGGCGCTCCGTCGTCGCCGTCGTCGTCGTCGTCGTCGTCGTCGTCGTCGCAGTTTTCGCCCTCCTCGTCGCTGTCGTCGTCGTCGTCGTCGTCGTCGTCGTCGTCGTCGTTCTCCTTCTCCTTCTTCCTCTCCTCCTCCTGCCATTCCTCGTCGTCGTCGTCCTCCTCCTCCTCCTCCTCCTCCTCCTCCTCGTCTTCTTCCCGTTGGCGGGCGCCGAGAGGTCCCAAGAAGGCGGTGCTCGTGTTCCACATGGACAACCATATGTGGAGTAGTTTTGTGACGACGTTGCTCTACTTTTTTGAGGCGATGCCGGGTGTCCTGCAAGGGTGCCCGCTCCCTGGGTCATTGTGCATCGTCGCCTGCGGGCGTTTCTCCAAGGATCTCCAAACCTCCATCGAGGCGCGGGACCTAGGCTGGACGCGGTTGTGCGCTGACGACCTCGGCGGCGGGGTCGCTTCCAGGGAGCGTTTTTTTTTTTTTTTTTTTTTTTTTTTTTTTTTTTTTTGTTTTTGTTTTCGTTTTTTTCTTCTTCAGGCAGATTGCGCGCGTCATGAGGATCGCCGCGGAAATGGCCGCGTTGAGGCTGCAATGTGAGAAGTGCGTGATGGTTCCGCTTGGCGGCCCGCTCGCCCCGGAGCGAGAACAGACCATCCGGGCTCTCTTGGCAGCCGCCTGCGAGGAGTGGGGTCGATGCCGCTTCGCGAGCCAGCTGGGATGCCTGGGGGTGAGCATGGGGCTGGCAGCCACGGTAGACGACAAATGAAAACACCGACGGCGAAACTCAAGGAGCGCGCGAAGTTCATCATGACGCAGGAGCCGCGCGCCCACCTCGCGTGCCAGCTTTACTTGAGTAGGGCGCAGCCGGTCACCTCGTACAATATGCAGTTCATGATGATGCCACGGAAATTTGTGATGTCGGAGGTCCATGTCTATTCGCCGAACTGCGTGGGCCCTCCTCGGCATTCTGGCGGCGAGACTGGTTCTCGCTCGGTTTCTGGGGGGGCCCAAGCTGAGAGGGGCCTCGTGAGACCCATGCGGCGGTGCTGATGCGCTTCGCGTGGAAAGGGAGGTCGAAGGGACGAGCTGCCGCCGTGGTGACAACTGCACGGTGTCGTCCTCAGCTCGATGCGCGCGCATTGCCCTACGGTCCCGCTTATGATGAATCCCCCCCCCCCGAAAAGCTGGCCCAGCGTTTCTTAAGTAACTTGCCGGAGAGCTGGCTCAGCTTCTCAAGGGGATTGGTAGCCCTGGATCTTAGAAGTGAATAACGTACGTTCCTGGCTCCCAAAGCCGGCCCAGCGTTTCCTCGAGAAACTTCCGACAAGTTGGCCCAGCTTTTTCAATCGATAATTTTCTTACTCGTGAGTTTGACTGTATCGAATTCGGGTCCGGTAAGCTGGCGCTGCCCTTTCGGTGTTTACCGGCGATCGCACACGCGTTGAACTGCGCAGCGGAGGGCTGCACGGGCGACGACCCCTCAATATGCAGGAAGCTTGGGCCCAGGGGGGTCGCAGGGCGTGGCCGTGGCGGCGCTCGGTCCAGTCGGAGGCATTCGGAAACGCTAGAAAGCGCCAGTGGCCGCAGAGCTACTTTTACGTCGCGCCTGTCCCTCTACAGGGAGAAAATTCAAACATGGTTAGAAACACTCGTATGGGGAGGATGTTTTGGGCATGTTTTTTTTGTTGTGTGTGTTTAGTGTTTTTGTTTTTTTGGGGAATGTTTTATTTCTCGCCCAAAATCCGCCTGTAGGGGGACACGCCCGACCTAAAGCTACTTCCAGAAGATCTTCGAGGAGGAGACCGAGCCGACGGGCATCATCGACCTGTTCACCCAGAGACTTCGCAAGCACTACCAAATCGAGGTCTTGCAGGTGAGCTGGGTGTCTGTGCGCGCTCACTCGAGGCGTGCCCTCCATGGCATGGGCGCCTGCCGCGATTCGAACGTGGGTGGGAGGGTGGGCCACCAACACGAGGGTACAGATAGTTATGTGCTGGCTGTGCGATGGGATGCCCCAGCGAGTCCGATAGGAACTGCCGCCAACTGCATTTCATGGCCGCGAGGGCCTTGAAGTGCGACCTCCCTGCGCCGCTCGAGTGGCGCCTTGGTCTGAAGGGCGGGCGCTTGGCCTTCGTCGTGGCGCTAGATCACGCGTGCCGCATCTGCTCCCACCTGCGGCGCGGCGCGGAGGAAGTGACGCTGCATATGGCTATGGACAACATCGAGGCGGTGATGCTCGCAGTCCGCCTCCCGTTGAAGTCCCAGCAGAAGCATATGTTCAACACGGCTGAGCTCTGGCGCTGCGTTGCGCGCAGCCGCGCCGAGCTGCCAAGGAACGCCTCCTCGCCCGAAACCCAGGTGAGCTTGGGCGCACGGGGCAGGCGACGAGGGATCGCCCCAGGGGGCGGTTTGCCGCCTCCTCCTCCTCCTCCTCGTCCTTCTCCTCGCTTCTCCTCCTCCTCCTTCTTCTCCTGCTCCTCTCCTCCTCCTCCTGCTCCTCCTCCTCCTCCTTATCCTCTTCCTCCTCCTCCTCCTCTGGGGATGGGGCGCCGAGGAAGGTGATGCGGGGACGGGGGGCCTAGCGCTGATGAGCGACGCCTGTGGGGCCCCCAGGCTTGGCGGCGCGCTCCGGGGGGGAAGGCAGAGGGGGCGGGCCCTGTCCGCAGGCTCAGATCCAGGCGATCGCAGACATGGATCAAGGGGGCGCGGATCAGCGACGGCTCCCGTTGCCGTGGGAAATCGCGGATGTCCGCCGGACGAGGCGGCCCCAGCCGCATTTTGGGGAGGGCGCCTCCCCCGATCCATGGATTTGGCGACCGCGCTCCAGATCCATGGATCGCTAATCCATGTTTGCGCGCCCCCGATAGAAGGCCTCCGGCCTTCTGAGAGGGTTTCTGAGCCGTCGCTGAATCCACAGATGGCTTTCCAGAACCCTGAAATTCAACGTCGCGGAAAACATGACTGGAGCCCCAGACCCCATCTCTTTGATGCACTTGTCGAGCTGGATCGATCTGTGAGGGTCCTGGGGCCCGAAACCAGGCGAAAACGCTCGATGTAAAACAATTGCAAGGCCCACATTTCCTGCAAGGCTGGTAGGCTTCTGAGAAGCCCCGCGGCCTCTCCAGAAGGCCTACCCCCTTTCACTGTCCCTCAGAGATTGTGTTTTATGCGCTGGCGCGCAGCGGTCGTTACCGGAGCCAATTTCCCCCTCTAGGAAACGTCAGCGATCGTACGTAGGGTGGGGGGGGACCCCCCCCCAACGTGCTGTTGCTCGCGCGCATACTTTGGCGATCGCAGCGTACCCCCACCCCGACATGCCCTCTCCTTCCACACCGCTGGCAGTGTGGGGCAAGTTGGGGCGGGGTAGCGGGTAACTGTAACGCGTGGGTCCACGCGTAAGCATCACCCGTTACCCGGGTAACAGTAACGCGTGGGCCCACGCGTCACCGCTACCCGGCCCCCCCCCTTTCTGGGTCACGACCGTTACCAGAGATAAGAAGCAAGCAATTTCCTTGGGCGCACCGCTGACAGGTGCGACTACCTGCCGCGGCTGCCCAGGGCCGGCCCCAAGACGGCCTTCCGCCTGGTGGAGCGCGCGGGCGCGCGGCCGGAGGCGATTGTGCGCGAGGCGCTCGCCATGGGGCTCGAGGCACCTGGGGGGCGGGGGGGACCGAGCTGCTCTGCTCGCCCTGCTCGCCCTGCTCGCTGCGATGCCGGCGACGACAGTGACGGTGACCGTGTCGATGACGATGGCGATGTCGCTGGCGCCGAGTCTGCAGCCCAGCTCCGCCAAAGCGCCGGGCGAGCCCGCCTGATGCCACAGTCACGGGCGAGCCTTCTCAGGAGGCTCGAAAGTCCCCCTGGCCTTCTGAGATGTCTTCCGAGCCTCCCCCGAAGGTCCAGAAGTCTTCTCCAGAAGGCCGGGAGGCCTCCGAGAAGTCCCGCCGCCCTCTGAGAAGACCTTCTCCTCCTCGCTTCCCCCCCTCGCCCGCCGCCGACCTTCCCCCGGCCAGCGAGGGCGTGTCCCTTGGGGTGGCCCGGCGCTTCTCCTGGACCGCGGCCTCTGGGGCCCCTCCTCGGGCCTCGGGGCCCCTGCGAGGGTGTCCAGGCCTCCCGCATGGGGTCGGAGCAGGTGGGGTCGGAGGCTCGCGCCGCGGCGCCGATGCACCGCCGATGCACCGCCGACGCATCGCCGATGCGGAGCCCGAGCTTCTTCACCGACGCATCGCCGATGCCTCGGCGATGCGGCGCGATCCTCCGACCCCCTCTGCTCCGACCCTATCTAGGATTGAGTCGGGCCTGTCCCTCTACAGGAGGCATGCTAAAGAATGGTGCAAGAATGTGTAGTCTGGGGACGATGTTTTGACTCATTCGGGCAACGCTGGAGCAATTTTTTGGGGGGCATCTTTATTTTTTCGTCCAAAATCCCCCTGCATGGGGGGCATGCCTGGCCTAAATCTGGGAGGCCTCTCGGGTGGCGCCCCGCGGCGCGCGGGGGCAGCTCCGAGCCGCGGTCTCCGGCCACGCAGCGGGCTCCGCGCCGCCTCTGCCGCCCGCCGATCAGGACGCTCGACGCCCGGGGGCGCGGCGCGCGGGCCTCCGAAGGACGGTCGGGAGCTCTTGGCTTCGCGTGAAATCGGGCGCGTCCCTATACAGGATGGCTTTTTAATATATATATATATATATATATATATATATATATATATGCACATACGTATATGTATGTATGTATGTATGTATGTATGTATGTATGTATGTATGTATGTATGTATGTATGTATGCAGCATGCATGCATGCATGCATGCATGCATGCATGCATGCATGCATGTATGTATGTATGTATGTATGTTTGTATATATATTTATATGTATATATAGATATGCATGTATATATGAGTACATATTTTCCATATTTTTCAAAACTTGTAAAATAATGTTTGTGTTTATTTTCGAATATGTTTGTCATACTTTTCATTTTTCACCCAAGAGCCGCCTGTAGGAGGGCATGCCCGGCCCAACGCCAGGGTCGCTCGACGCCGGTGCGCGGCGCGCAGGCCTCCGAATTGCGGTCGGGAGCTCTTGGCTCAGCGTGTCGCTCAGCCGGTTCTGGCCCACCGCGCCTCGGTGCGACACGCTATCCTTATGTCGGGCCTGTCCCTGTACAGGAGGAATATTCAAACATAGTTGAAAGAACAGTCTGGGGACTATTTTTGGGGTATTTTTGAACATGTTTTTTTTTTTTGTCGAAGAATATTTTTAATTTTTCGTCCAAGATCTCCCTCTAGGGGGACAGGCCCGACTTCACGCTATCCACGTCGCGGTCCCCAGGCGTCTGCGTGCCGAGCTCGTCCCTGCCCTCCACCCCGCCAGGCGGAGCGACACGCGAGTCTTCTCGCAGGGCACAGCGTGTCGCCGGAGCTGCCGCGGCGACACGCTGCCCCCAAGGTTCCCGACCGCATTTGCATCTGGCGCACTGCCCGCTCCGGCAGGGCGGGCAGGCAGGTGCAGTTGTTGCTGTTGTTGTTGCTGTTGTCGTTGTTGTTGCTGTTGTTGTTGTTGTTGTTGTTGTTGTTGTTGTTGTTGTTGTCGTTGCTGTTGTTGTCGTTGTCGTCGTCGTCGTCGTCGTCGTTGTTGTTGTTGTTGTTGTTGTTGTTGTCGTTGCTGTCGTCGTCGTCGTTGCTGTTGTTGTTGTCGTCGTCGTCGTCGTCGTTCTTGTTGTTGTTGTTGTTGTTGTTGTTGTTGTTGTTGTTGTTGTTGTTGTTGTTGTTGAACATTATTACTTCTAAAGAATAATTATTGTTGGGACCCCTGGTGCACGGCCCCCTCGCCGCGCCTAGGCCGCAGCCATGTTTTCATCATTTTCGTGAGGAAGTCTCGGCAAAACGGGTTGGTCCGGATCCGGTTGTTTTGTTACGGGCGGTTTTCCCTTGCAAAAAATAAGGCAAAGTGGACATTTCTTGTTCTAACATAACCAAACTTCAAGAATCCCTTGCAAAACATAAGGTAAAGTGGACATTCGCGCGCGCAAGACGAAATCCTTCCAAAACCTTAGTGTTCGTAGCGATTTTAACATAAAAACATCAAAAAACCAATGGTTTTTCAAAAAAAAATGTCAAAATTTCATCCCGCGCGCTCTTGCGGATTCGTAGGAAACCCAACACTTTTTAAACATTTCTGTCAAACGGGCTTTTGCGAGCAACTTTTTCGAACTTCTGCAACAACGGTTGCGCACCTGCCAGGGCCATCATCCCTGTCAAATAATACCATGCGGGACACATTCGTTTTTTCTTCGCGCGCGCACGCCGAAATCTTCAAAAACCATTGGGTTTCTTAGGAATTTTAGCACCGCGCAACATAAAATCATACGAATCGCACCGTAGGTCCTCGAAAAACATCTGTACGAATTTTCAAAATTTCTACCCGCGCGCGCTGTCCGAATCCTAAAAAACCAATGGTTTTTCAACATTTATGTTACATGAGCTCGCGCGAGCTACTTTCGCAAGCCCACAACAAGTCACTGTACCCATGCGCCAGTGTAGTAGCCACGGTCGTCCGCAGGCCACGAAGTGAAGTGTCCGAACGTCATAGGGCGGGAAGCTGGGTGTGGGTGGTGGCGAAGAGTCGTTTGGAAATGTGGTAGAGCTTGAACCGGCCCCCCCACAAAGTGGGGGTATTGGCGGGCGTCGTATGAAAACCCTGGCACTGGTGAGAACGGAGTGTCCCCACGTGCTAGTAATTGTTGTTGTTGTTGTTGTTGTTGTTGTTGTTGTTGTTGTTGTTGTTGTTGTTGTTGAATTCTCATTTCTGAAGAATAATTATTGTTGATCCCCCACCACCGGTGCATACTGTTTTTTCTCAATCAAAGCGTGCCCCTCGACGCTCGCATCCGGTTGTTTGACAGGGAAAGTCTTGATGCTCAAACTGGGCCCCTGGCCCCCGGGTTACAACAACAACGGCTCCCGCCTGAGACTTCCTTACAATTTAGTCAGGACCGCCGCTCCCGCCCGAGACTTCCTCGCATTTTATTCAGGATTCGCGCTCTCGCTTGGGACTTCCTTACAGTTTATTCAGGAATCGCTCTCCCGGTGCTCTGGAGTCGCGCTCTCGCTGGAGACTTGCTTGCAACTTACTGAAGAATGGCCTTGCGTTGGAATTTCTTGCAATTTGCCCAAGCGCCGCGCTCCCGACACCCAGGCACCCAGGAGTCGCGCCCGTTGTGGCCCCATGTGCATGCCCTTCGTGGCCCCGCTGTCGCCATTCGTGTCCCCCTCACTGTCCTACGTGGCCCAGTTGCTACCCTCAGTGGCCCCATAGTTGCCTTCTGTGGCCCCGCATTATCTGCACTTCGTGGCCCCCGCTCGTTCGCGCTCTTCGTGGCCCCATACGCATTCCCTTCGTGTCCCCGCTGTCGCCCTTCGTGGCCTACTTCGTGCCCTTCGTGGCCCTGCTGTCGTTCTCTCTCGCTCTCGCTTTCGCTTGTCGTCGCCGTCGTCGTCGTCGCCGTCGTCTTCGACGTCGTCGTCGTCGTCGTCGTCGTCGTCGTCGTGGTCGGTCCCCTGTCCGTCCCTCTTGGGGTCGGGTCGACGGTCCGCGGCCGCCCCGCCGATCAGCGCTGCCGCTGGCCAGGCCGACGGTCCGCGGCCGCCTCGCCGCTTGCCGGGGCCCGGTCTGCGGGGAAGAAAGGTATACCCCTCACAAGGGGCTTGATCGAAGACGAAGAGGGCGGGTATCGAGGGTTTGGGAAATACGCGTTACTGGACACTCGAGCATATAAGGGCGAACAGTCTTAACATTATTATTGTTGTTGTTGTTGTTGTTGTTGTTGCTGTTGTTGTTGGTGTTGTTGTTCAATCGCGTCGTTTTCACTTCATTTGCTTACTACGCCTACCAAACGGCTTCTGCTCGTCTCCCCGACCTGAGCCCTCTCCGGATCCAGACGGCCACGGCCACGCCAGCAAACGGGGCCCCCCAAACGGTGTGGTGACCACACCGCGTGGTGAGTCGATGCGTGTTTGGGGTCACCGCACGGTTTTGGGGCTCGGGTCGTTCCCCGAGGACGTCTCGCGCGACTGGGGCCTCCGAGGTCCCAAAACCGTGCGGTGACTGACCGCGCGGTGAGGTCGTTGAAGAATCCGAGGTCACCACGCGGTCCGTCACCACACGTTTCCATGGCCCAGAAAGCACGCAGACAACTCAGCCAGAGGTTTGGCATCGCTCGAACGCGTGTATTTTTCTTGGTGGGGACCATCGAGGAGCATCTTGGATCATCTTGCGGAACAGACGCGCACGAAACCGACAACTGCACGGGGAATGGACGTCCGAGCGATGGTGAGGGGAGCAAGTTTTGGGCCATGCCTGGGCGCGTGTCTGGCCAGCCCCGCGCCGGCGCCACGCCCTTCCGGGGGGAGTCATTGGCGCGCCTGTGGTGAAGAGACACCGCTTTCCCGTTTGAGAGCGGGCGTGCCCTGCTGCAACCACGTGCGAGCCACTTCCTGGCTGGTCCAGCGACTTCTGGGGCATCGGGCACCCCCCCTTCGGGCAGCAATTGGACTCGGCCAAGAAAGCTTGGTCAGCCCAGCCGAGTCTTTCCCATGTCCCTCGCAGGAGGTCGCTTTGCCGCAGGGCGCCCTTCAGATTCTGACTCTCCGCGGGTCTTTCAGCAAAGGTGAACCTGCAGGGGTAATTCGGGTTCGTACCCGACTGCACGATTCCTCCGCCTCCACTCTATCCCCTCCCAGAGGGGGGGGATGATGTGTGCATGTGGGGAGGGGGACGAGGAGGAGGAGAGGGAGAAGGAGGAGGAGGAGGAGGAATTCGAGCCCCGCGGCCCTCTGGAGGCCTCCCTCACGCCCCCCAAGCAGGGCCACGAGCGACCCCAGAGCGCAGCAGGGACACCTCCCTCCTGGTCGGCGCCTCCGCTATCCTTCGAGGCTGGACCCCAGACCCATTCCGCTGGTTGATGGACCTCAGGACGGCATGCGGCGTTCGGGGCCGAGGCGCACCCGATGCCGTCCACCCGGTCGAGCAGCGGCGGCAGGCGGTGTGATGCCCGCGCGCCTCCCGCGGACCCTACAGGGGGGGGGAGGACGAACCTTCGAGACGCTGATCGGACGCCCCCGCGCGGTGCAGCGGGACAGGGGTAGCTCTCGACCTCCCCACGCTTCGGATACTCGAGGACAAGACTGGCCAGGAGTGGCGCGCGGGCCGAGGGAGCTGGGAGGAGGAGGAGGAGGAGGAGGAGGAGGAGGAGGAGGAGGAGGAGGAGGAGGAGGAGGAGGAGGAGGAGGAGGAGGAGGAGGAGGAGGAGGAGGAGGAGAAGGAAGGGCTGGGCAGGGCGCGCCGGGAGCGGCTGGCAGGCGGGAGGCGGGCGGGCTCCGTCGGTCCGCCGCGCGAGGTGCCCGCGGGCTACCTGGAGGGCTTCCGGCGGGCGCGCGAGACGATGCGGCGCCAGGCCCGCCGGGCGCCGGGCGGGCTTTGGGGAGATGTCTGACCACCCTCCCTCTTGCAGTCAACCCGAACAGTGAGGATGGACAACCTTCCCAAGGGATACCCTTGCATCCCTGCCTCCTCGGTCCATGCTTGGCCACTTTCGTTGGCCGCGCCCCGCTCGAACGGCTTCGGAATCGGGGTCCCAGGCCCTTGCACCCTTCTCGCGCATCCTTGTGATACGGGCCGGCTGTACATAGGTCGTCTCTCGGAGGAGGCCTCGTCGCCACGTCGGGAAGGCGAGGCGATACACGTACAGGTAAGCGTGGGGAGAGGGGCTCCTCCAGAAGACTCTGAGAGTCCCTGCCAGACAGCACTGGGCATTCTGCCACGCCTCAGCGGTCCATGGGGCACGGCGTCGGATACTGATGATGATGATGATGATGATGATGATGATGATGATGATGATGATGATGATGATGATGATGACGACATAATATGGTTGTGATGATGTTGACGGTGACGATGGCGATGATGATGCTAACACTGATGATAATGATGCTGATGACGATTATAATTATATTGATGCTGCTGATGATGATGATCATATGGATGCTGGTGATGGGCATGATGATGATGATGAGGATGAGGATGGCGACGACGATGATGATGCTGATGATGATGCTTCTTATGATGATGAGGACGATGCCGATGCTGCTGATGATGCTGCTGATGATGCTGACGCTGATGATGATGACGATGATGCTGATGGTGATGCTGATGAGGATAATGATGATGCTGATGATGATGCTGATGAGGATGATGATGACGATGATGATTAGGATGAGGATGAGGATGAGGATGAGGATGATGATGAGTATGAGGATGAGGATGATGATGCTGATGATGATGATGATGATGATGATGATGATGATGATGATGATGATGATGATGATGATGATGATGATGATGATGATGATGATGATGATGGCGATGATTTTGATGCTGCTGCTGATGATGATGCTGATTATGCTTATTGTTGTTACTACTTCTACCGTTATCATTATTCCCCAATCAGAGCTTGCCTCTGTAGGGGTCCTAGCGGATTCATATGGTTAGGTTAGGCTTGCCGTCGATTTTCGCGGCACGCCTGGGTGCCGGGGTGCCCGGGGGTGCCCGGGGGTGCCCGGGTGCCCTGGTGCCCGGGTGCCCCGGCGTGCCCGGGGGTGCCTGGGTGCCCGGGGGTGCCCGGGGGGTGCCTAGGGGTGCCCCATAGCCCAATAGCCCTATAGCCCTACAAGTCCATCACTCTATAGCTCTATAGTCCTATTGCTCAATAGCCCTATAGCCCTATAGCCCCCAAGCCCTATAGCCCTGATTGTTTTTTTTCTCCGGTATCATATGCATTATATTTTCTTTTTATGCTGATGATTATTATTGCTATTATTTGTATGACTATGATTCCCCTGTCAGAGCTTGCCTCTGTAGGGTCCTAGCGGATTCACGTGGTTATACTGAGGTTTGCCACCAATTTCCGCGGCCCGCCCGGGTGCCCGGGTGCCCGGGTGCCGGGGTGTTCAGGTGCCTGGGTGCCCGGATGCCCGGGTGCTTTATGGCCCTATAGCCCTGTAGTCCCATAGACCTATCGTCCTATAGCCCTATAACCCTATAACCCTATAGCCCTATAGCCTGATAGCCCTATAGCCCCATAGCCCAATAGCCCTATAGCCCTGTAGCCCAATAGCCCTATAGCCCTATAGCCTTATAGCCCAATAGCCCTATAGCCCTATCTCCCTAGAGCTCTATAGCCCAATAGCCCTATGGCCCTATAGCCCTATACCCTTATATCTCTATAGCCCCATAGCCCTATAGCCCTATACCCTTATAGCTCTATATGCCTATAGTCCTATAGTCCTACAGCCCCATAGCCCTAATTATATCCCTATAGGCCTATAGCCCTATAGTCCTATAGCCCTATAACCCAATAGCCCTATAGACTCATAGCCCTATGCCCCTATCGCCCTATAGCCCCATAGCCCCATAGCCCCATAGCCCTATAGCCCTACAGCCCTGATGTCCTATGGCCCTACAGCCTGATCGCCCTATAGCCCTATAGACCTATAGCCCTATGGCTCTATAACCCTATAGTTCCATAGCCCCATAGCCCCATAGCCCCATCGCCCTATAGCCCAATAGCCCCATAGCCCTATAACCCTAACAAGACTTGTATGGTTTTCTCGGGCATCATTATTCTTTATTGCAATTATCGTGACGACAATGGTGCTGCTGGTGGTGATACAGATGAAACTTGGTATAGTGATGTCTGTGGCAATGCTGATGATGCGACTGATGAAGATGATGACGATGTTGAATAGGACGATGAAGGTGACACTGATGATGATGATGCTGATGATGAGATTGATGACGATATCGATGATGACCGTGAGGATGACTACCACGGTGGTGATAATGACGACGATGCTGCTGAGACATGATGATTGCGATGGTGGGGATGCTGCTGATGACGATGTTGCTGCTGATGATGATGATGATGATGATGCACGTGATGAGACTGCTTATTATCGTTATGATGGTGATGCTGATACTCATGATGATGATGTCGATGATGATGGCGACGATAATGTTGGTTATGGTGGTCGCGATTCTGGTGATTATGCCAGCGACTAGGGCAATCAGGATGACAATTACGATGGTAAGGATCACGTGGATGAGGGTGACGATGCTTCGATGCTGATGATGATGATGCTGATGATGATGATGATTCTGATGATGATGATGATGATGATGATGATGATGATGATGATGATGATGAGGATGATGATGACGATGATGATGCTGCTGCTGATGATGATGATGCTGAGGATTCTGATGCTATGCAGATGAGGGAGATCGTGAGGATTATGAGGATGGTGATGATGCTACTGCTGATGATGATGACCATGGTGATGGTGATGGTGATGGTGATGCTGCTGTTGATGATGATGATGATGATGATGCTTATGATGCTGTTGATGCGGTTGATGATGATTATGCTGGTGCTTGTTCTTCGTGTCACGCCTCTTGCTTCTCACCTCCCGCCTCCCTACTTCCCTCTCCCATGTTCAGACTCAGTCACCCTCAGACTCACACTCGCACTGAGACTCACTCTGACGCAAACTCACTGACACCCAGGCCCAAATACACTCAGACTCACCACTTCTCAGACTTCACCCATACTCAGGCCACTCGCACTCACCCATATTCAGCTCAATCCTAGCCAGACTCGGGGACACAGACTACTTGCATTCAGACTGTTCACATTCAGATTCGCTCACAATCAGACTTACCCGCACCCTGCCATTCTAACTCAGATCCACTCGTACTCGTTCCTCATACTCACGCTCACTCATGATCACCGCGACGTGCCTGGTATAGCATTTGGGGACCCCAGGGGGGACCCGCCAGGGGCTACATCGGTGGCCCGTTTGCCCTGATATTGTGGGGACGTCTCGCGCGAAAAGCCGGTGTTGGCTTCCCGTGTTCTGAGAGCCCCATGGTCACCGCGATGTAGCAGGCGTAGTTTTTGTTCACCCCAAGGGGGGTCCCGTCACTGGGTACGGCAGAGGCCCGTTCGCGTCCGTATTGCGGGGGCGTCTCGGTCGGAAATACTTGTGTTGGCTTCTCCAGCTTGTTTGTTTTGAGAGCCCCATGGTCACCGCGATGTGCCCAGTCCGCTCGCGTTCTGAAAAAGTCACGAAGGCAGGTCTTTAGCTATTTTCGGCTTCTGGGGGCCCTCGCTGGGCCCCGGGACCGTAGTAAAAACGACTCCGGGTGAACAGCTGGTCCTGGAGAAGGGGCCCAGAAGTCTGGGGGTCGACTTTGGGAAACAATCACGACGTTGGGGGTCTAGGTAGCAGGATACTAGTTTGGCACACCAATGAGGGGAAGCTAGGTATTGCAGTGGCCTTTCGCTCCCAGTCTTCAGGGACTTCTCAAGCTTACCGCTGATCGGTGCTTCCCTGGCTCCTTTGTTCTGAGCGCCCCATGGTCACCGTGGTGTAGCAGGCATAGCACTTGGGCGCCAGGGGGGGCGCCAGGGGGTATTACACGGGCCCGTTCGCTTCCAGATTCTGGGGACGTCTCCTGCGAAACGCTGGTTTGGTTTTCTTGGCTCCTTTGTCTTCGGAGTCCCACGATCACCGCGATGTAGCAGGCATCGAACTTGCACACCCCAAGGGGAGCCGCCACTCGGTATTGCACGGGCCCATTCGCTTCCAGATTGCAGGGGCGTCTCAAGCGAAACGCTGCTTTTGGTTTCCCCGACTCCTCGCTTTGAAAGCCCCATGCTCACCACGATGTAGCAAGCATCGCACTTCGGCGCCTTGTTCGCGCCCAGAGTCTGGGGACGTCTCATGCGCAACCCCTGCACAGGCTCCTCGGACTCGTTCCTTCTCGGGATCCACTGACCTCAGCGATGTAGCAAGCATAGAATTTGGGCTCCCCAAGGAGGGGCCGCCAGGGGTTGGTCCACGATCGCGCCCAGGTTCTGGGGACGTGTCATGCGAAACGCCCGCATCAGCTCCGCGGGCTCGTTTCCTCCCAGGGCCCCAGATTACCGCCATGTAGCAGGCATGGCTCCCTGGCCTGCGTAGACCAGCTGAAAGAAGCTGAGACAGAGGAGACGAGGAGAGACCAGCAAAGACCAACAGTGACCAGCATAGACCAGCATCAGCAGACACAACCAGAGGCCGGCAGTGGTCACCAACACAGACCAGCACAGAATAGCAGAGACCACTGATGTTTACGCGCGTGCAAAACATCGCAGAGCGACATCGTGCAGCAGTGAGCGGAATAGCAGGCGGCAGCGAAGAGCAGCACAGACCACCATTCACACTCGGACTCACTCTCATTCAGTCGCCCTCAGGCTGAGAGTCCCTCTCGCTCAGACGCTCACAGCGGGACGTGCCTTGAATCGAGATGCCAACCTGGGGATCTCCGCGTCGAATCAGATTGCTAATGATGCTGATGATCATTACTAGTAATATGGTGGTGATGGTGGCGATGATGACGACGACCATCGTGACCATGATGAGAAGGAGGAGGTCGAGGAGAGAACGAGGAGGGGTAGGGTGAGGAGGGAGAGAGTGGAGCAGGAGGAGGACCAGCATTCAAAGGATAGTCAGGATGAGGCGGAGAATCCTCCTGCTCCCCGAAATAGGGGGCATGATCCTCCTGCTCCCCCTGCTACCCGAAACGGGGACTTCCTTCGATCGCTGGCAAGATGGCATGCTCCTCTCCCCAGAGGGTGGTGGACCCTGCTCCCTATTTCTCATCCTCCCTCCCTCCTTTTGCCTCCCTCCCTCCCTCCCTTCCTCCTTCCCCCTCCTCCTCCTTCCCTCCCCCGCCTTTCTCCTCCAACACCCTACCGCCTCCTCCCTCCTCCCTCTTCTTACCCCCCCGACGTGTCGGCAGGGCGGGCTGGGCGTTTCGTCCGAGACTTGCTCACCATCTGTGGTCCTGAAGCTTGAACGTTGCAGCAGTTATTCGGATGTAGGGTCTCGCCGTAGCGCCGCGCACATTCGTGTGTCAAAATTACAACAGTTTCAAGGGTAGCGGGTCGTTTTCAACATGTGGCTCTCGCGTTAGCGCCACGCACACTAGTTTTAACGTGTACAGTGTACAGCAGTTTCACGAATGGCGGGCCGGTGGTTTTCAGAATGTGGCTCCTGCCTCAGCGCCGCGGACAGTCGTCTGACAAGTTTTCGACGGTTTCGCGGATTCGTGTTGTTGAACTCACAGGCATGGTATTCTCGCGCGTTTTAGGGCTGTCAGGACGCAACAGTAACGTTGATCCGCGGCGTTGAAGTCCTAGGAGTGGTGCTTTGGCACGTCTGGGGGCTCTCAGATTGTTGTCTTCTAACGGGCCGTTTCCAGGAATGGAAACATGTTCTTGTAGGGACCCATGAAGGGAACTTGGAGGGAGGGTTTACTGCAACATCGTTGACGCGGCTTGGGCTTAATTCGCCCAAGGGGCACAGACGGTCGAGCAGTGCACGCTCAGAGGCATTTTTCTGGATCGGGTTCGGCCGGTTCTCGAGTCGAGACGGTTCTCCCCGCTCTTCTTCCTTTTCCTCCTCCTGTACATGCTCTTTCTCCTCCTCTTCCTTCGCCTCCTCTTCTTCTTCTTCTTCTTCTTCTTATTTTTAATCTTATTATTTTTTGTGCTTTGCACCCCGCGGCCTTCGAGCTTTCGCGGGGCGGCAAGGCGGGGTGCTCCTCCGCGGCGTCTCTACACGCAGGAGCGAGGGCCAGGATCACGGGAGGTCCCTCGGTCGGACTTCGTGCTGCAGGACCTTTTTGGTCTGGTCTAGTCTCTTCTTCTTCTCCTCCTCCTCTTCTTCTTCTCCCCCTCCTCTTCTTCTTCTCTCCCCCTCCTCTTCTTCTTCTTCTCCTTCGTCGTCCTCCTCTTCTTCTTCTTCTTCTCCTTCTCCTCCTTCTTCCTCTTCTTTTTCTCCTTCGTCGTCCTCCTCTTCGTCGTCCTCTTCCCCTCCTTTCAGAAGGCGGCTCCAGTCCTCGCTAGAGCGCATTCTGGCTTGACTTTCGAATCGGGGATCCAGCTTTGTGGCGACGCGGCGGGACCTCCGCGATGCTCAAACATTGTCCTCAAGCGCATCTCAAAAGCGTCGTGCCTCGAAGTTCGAACCTCGAAATTCTTGGCGCTTCGCGTATCCCCACCAGCCTCGGTCACACCGCCCTTTGGACTTCTCCTTGCGGGCCGCGAATCAAAAAAGTATCCCCACCAGCCCATCCAGAAACGATGCCCAGGAGAGGTGCCTCTCAGAGTCGCCTCGGATGTCTCTTGGAAGCTTTTTGGAGGCCTCTTGGAGCGTCCTGGGGGCCTCTTGGAGCCTCCAGGACGCTCAAACATGTTCACAAACGCATCCAAAACGTCGAGGCTCGAAGTTCAAACCTCGAAATTTGATTTAAGTCGGGCACGTTCCTCTACAGGAGGAATGTTCAAACATAGTAAAACAATAGCCTGGGGACGATACTCCGATAGATTCTATGTGACTTTTATAAATGAAAATCTAACATGTTCCATTTTTTTGCAACATCCGCCTGTAGGAGGACCTGCTTGGCATAAGGACGGACAGCGCGGGTTCTTTTTTTTGAGGGCGCGAGGTCGCTGTCTAGTGTCTTGGAGCCCTGCTGGTGCGAAGACTTTGGTACGACATACAACAATAAGTCAACAAAAACCATGCGAAAATCAATGAATACTGCATTTCAGGGCCTTTCTGGGGGTCCTTTTGGGGCTCTTTTGGACCGTCTTGGGGCCCTCTTGGGCCGTCCCGGGGCCCCCTTGGGCAGTCTTGGCGGGCTTGGGCCGTCTGGGGGCTCTCTTGGGGCGCTCTTGGGGACCTTCTGTAGCCTCCTGAGGCCCTCTTGGGGCTCTCTTGGGAACCTTTCGGAGCCCTCGGGGACCCGTCTTGGGCCGTCTTGGGGCCGTCTTGGGCCGTCTTGGACTCCTTGTGGGCCGTCTTGGAGCGCTCTTTGGGGCCTCTCAGGCCGTCCTGGGGCGGTCTTGGGAGCCTCTTGGGCCGTCTTGAACACTGTGAAGACCAACGAAGCTAATATGCAACAATAAAAGGTTTCTGAAAGGAATGGGCCGACTTTTGCATCCTGGGGGCCTCCTGCGGCGTCTTGGGGGCTTCTTGGGCTGAAGCCATGTTGGGCCCTTTTTGAGCGCTCATGGGCCGTCCTCGGGCCCTTTTGGACCTCCGACGCCGTCTTGGAGGTAGCTTGGGCGCTCTTGGGGCTGTCTGGGACCGTCTTGGGGCCTCTTAGGCGCTCTTGGGGCTGACTTGGGCCGTCTTGGGCCGAACGTGGCCCAAACTTGGGGGTATTAGATCTGAGGCCCAGGCTGCCTCCCCCTCCACCCTGTTCTTTCTCCCTGCTGACGGATCGCGACGCATGCCCGTTCTAAAATCAGATCCACCTTGCCCCCGCGCAGGAGGTGGTGGACCCCGTGTCGCTCCTCAGGGTGCCTCTCTCCTCTGACGCCGCGGTCGGCGAGCTCGGCGGCTGCGGCGGGGACCGAGGCGGTGCGGAGGGCCCGGAGACGCCGCGGCGTCCGCCCTCACCGCTGCGGAAGCCAGGCGACCGACGACAGCCGCCGCCGTCGTCGTCGCCGCTGGCGCCGCCGCCGCCGTCGCCGCCGCCGCCGCCGCTGTCGCCGCCGCCACCGCCGCCGCCACTGCCGCCGCCGCCGCCGCTGTCGTCGTCGTCGTCGTCGTCGTCGCCGCCGCCGCCGTCGCCGCCGTTGTCGTCGTCGTCGTCGTCGTCGTCGTCGTCGTCGTCGTCGTCGTCGTCGTCGTCGGCAGCCGTCCCCTGACGTCTGGGCAATGCGGTAATCTCCACGCGGGTTGGGTCGCCCTCATTTGGGCTCCACGGCCCCCAGCCTGGCCCGAGATATCTTGGGGTCCCTAGTTTTATTAGTGCTTTGTCCCCGCCGTCCTGTGGTGCTGTGTCCTCGCTCTTGGTCCGCAGCGCCCTGCGTCTCCTCACTCCTCGTCCCCCTCCCCCTCCTCCCCCTCCTCCTCCTCTTCCTCCTCCTCCTCCTCCTCCTCCTCCTCCTCCTCCTCCTCCTCCTCCTCTCCCTCCTCCTCCTCCTCCTCCTCCTCCTCCTCCTCCTCCTCCTCCTCCTCGTCCTCCTGCTCCTCCTACTCCTCCTCCTCCTCCGCGTGTCCGTTTCGGCACACCACTCACACCTTTCGTCGTGGCTCCATGGGGAGCCACACCGAAGGCCCCAGTGGGCAATGCCACGTGCGGCCCATCCGCTGATTTCGGCACAACCCTCACACAGTTCGTGTCTCACAGGGATTTCCATACACATCCCCTGTAGACAAGGCCACACGTTGTCACCCCTCCAGAGCTTGCCGCACCCTCGCTCGGCGTACAAGACGCACCGGATAGGTTATTGTTTCGGGTCCTGGGGCGTTCTTCGTCACTTCCTGTGATCTTGCTTGTGACCCTATCAATGGTGACATTTCCTGTGCTGCTATTGTGGATGAGTGGGGTGCTCCTTCGGATTCGGCGTACTCTTGGGCTGATTGGACGTCCACCATTCGAATCTTGGTCTGCTGCTAGGTAGCATGAGCTGTGGGTCGCCGACAAGTATCGTCCCCCTGCCCCTCTAAGAACCCTGACCACCGATGGGGCCGACCCGATGTTTCTATCCATAGTTGGATCGCAGGCCTTGCGTTGCCTGCACCGATTGATTTTGACCTGCCTGGAGTTGGGCTCTTGCGGTTTGACAGTATCCCAGGACTCCTTGTTCGGAGGTGAGATGCCCGAGCTCGTGGCAGACTGCCAAGTCTTGTGCTCTGTCCGACGCTCCTACCATGTTTTCTCTTTCGACCAGTTTCGTTTTGTACACATTTCGGCTCACTCGTAGATGATATCAAATCTCTGGGCAACGCAGGCAGATGTGACTATGAGAGGAAGGCTGATACCACGCTCTTGGGGATTGATCCAGCTTCCGGCAAGTGGCGCGCAGCGCCCAAGAATTTGTTATCCAGCCGAGCTGTGTACGGCCATGGCTCACGGAGTTCATACCTACCTCTCCTCCGTCTGGGGCTTGAGCGACCCCGAGGACTTCGGCCTCAGTGAGTTGCCCAGTGAGCTCGACTGCTTCGTCTAGGTCCTAGACCCGTACGCAGAATCTATTCCAGAATGATTTCAGGCCAAGGGACACCTTCTTCAACAGGCCGTGCCCTCCCCCAAAGGATCCCGCCTGCCTGAGGCTGCTGCGCGGCCCATGTCTTCTAATTGCCTTCAGCGGGGGGGCGAGGCCGATTCCGATTCTGGGCAGGGGATCCCGAGGGCTCTTGAAGCCTCGGGGACTTCAGGCACCTCAGGAGGCCACCTGCGAACCCTACCCCACCACCCCGCGACCTCCAGGGCGGGAGGTGGGGTTCACTTCGCTCGGGAGTTTCCGAACGAAGTGAGCCCCACTCCCCCCTCAGAAATCGTGGGGTGGTGGGGTACCCAGGCCCCCGACGAGAGATCTGGACCCCTTCTCCTGGACCGTTTTTTCACCCCGAGTCGTTTCCCCCATATCCTAAGATGGGGTTCTTGTTATCACGTTAACTGCGCGGACCTCCTCCTCACCTCCTCCCTCTCTTCCCCATCCTATTCAGAGTTTGATGAGGCATTCGGAGCATGACGATGCCGAACGGTGACGATAAGAGTATGATGATGACGATGTTGATGCAGATTATGCGTATTGGTGGTCAAAATGAGGATGCTGAGTCTGATGAGTGTTGATGACGATGATGCTGCTGCTGATGATGAAGCATGAGGATGATGACGATCATGAGGAAGATGGCGATCATGGTTGGCATGATGCTGATGATGATGCTGATGCTGCTGGTGATGATGATGCTGCTGCCGATGATGGTGGTGATGGTGACGGTGATGGTGATGGTGATGACGGTGCTGATGACCAGAGGGGGCCAGATAGCAAGGATGTCTCGAGCGGTTTGCCTGTTTTGGTGGCCAGACTCGTCTGCGCTCAGAGCAGATCCTGAGAATGTCTCAGGCGGTTTGCTGGTTCTCGCACTCCTAAGAGGGAGCCGCCAGGGGTGTCTCGCGGCATCCATTCGCGCCCAGATTGCGGGGATGTCTCAAGCGTTTTGCTTGTTTACCAACTCAGCATCCTCCGCTTTCCGACCAGATTTGGAGGGTGTCTCGTGCGAGGCGCTGGGTTTCGCACCCCAGGGGGCCCAGATGGCGATGACGTCTCGAGCGGTTTGCATGTTCTGGGGGCTAGGCCAGACTCGTGGGCATGGATCATGGTCAGGATGCCACAGGAGGCTCCAGCAGGCTCCACGAGGACCCAGGAGGCCACAGGAGGTCCCAGGAGGCATCAGGAGGCCACAGGAAACCACAGGAGGCCCCATGAGGCCACAGGAGGCACCAGAGGCCCCAGGAGGCTCCAGGAGGCCCTAGGAGGCACCAGGAGGCACCAGGAGGACACAGGAGGCCACAGGAGGCCACAGGAAGCGACAGGAGGCAACAGGAGTCCCTGGAAGGCTCCAGGAGCCTCCACGAGGCCCCAGGAGCAGGAGGCTTCAGAAGGCCACAGGACTGGCTCCATTCCCAAATGTTTTACGTATGTTCTTAGATATTGTCCTTTTCCTGTGTATCCACTCCTAAGTGTTTTACGTGTGTTCCTATAGATGAGGCCTGCCCTGGAGCAGGAGTCCTTGGTGTTTTGTTACGTGTGCTCCTGTAGATAGCCCCTCTCCCTCCAATCCGAAGTGTTTTTACATCTGTTCCTATAGATTGTGCCTTTCCTGGGGCACGAATCCTCCCCAGGAGGCCCCAGGAGACTCCAGGAGGCCTCAGGAGGCCCCAGGAGGCCACACGAGGCTCCAGGAGGCCTCAGGAGGCCACAGGAAGCCCCAAGAGGGCTCAGGAGGCCCCAGGAGGCTTCAGGAGTCACCAGGAAGTCCCAGGAGGTTTCAAGAGGGTCCAAAAGGCCCCAGGCTCATGCGCAGAGGCGCACTCATACTATTGAGATTCATTCACACTCCAACCCAATCGCAGTTAGATTTGCTCATAGACCGTCAATGGTCAAGCCCGCTTGTATTCGAAAACTCTGGTGCCTGGACATTCACGGCGGACAGGTCCATGCTAATAGATGCACATCTGGGGAGCTCCGCGCAGTGAGTAATTCGACGGTCCCGAGGCCCGGCGAGGGCCCCCGGAGGCTGAAAATAGCAAAGACCTATCGTTCGCCGAGCGCGTTCCACTACTCGCAAAGTGCCTACTCGCAAACGTCCGAAAAACACCGGTCTGCTTTGATGTAATTTATCGTAGACCCCCGGCGGGGGATCCAGGCCATTTGCGAGTAGTTACTTTGCGAGTAGTGGAACGCGCTCGTCGAATCGTGGTTTTTTGGTCGACAGCGCGAGGGGGTCCGGGTAGGGCTCGCATGTGGCCTCCTGCGCCTGCTTCCTGCTGCTCCTGCTGCTGCTCGTCACCCACTGGCCCCCCCCCGGCCGCCCGCGAGGGGCACCCGCCCACGGGGGCTGCACCGCGGGGCCGTCCACCTGTCGCCGCTTCGGCTGCCTCCGGGAATGATCAGGGCCTTCCCAAGGGTGCTCAATCCCCGAATCGCGTTCCGCTCGAGGGGGGATGAGAGGGGGCGAGTTCCACAGGGGGGGAGGGGGGGAGGGGACGGGGACGGGGGAGAGGGGGAGGGGACGGGGAACCCTGCACCGCCTGGTTCGGCAGCCGTTTCGCTGGAGACGCCTCACAGCCTATGGAGGAGTCGTGCTCTCGCTTTACTGCCAGCTGCATTTTTGATCCGGACGGCCACGATCCTTGGTAAAGACACACGCGCATGACGGTGCACATGGCCGTGCTCTCACCCATGCCACACGGCCACGATGTCCTGTTAGACATACACTGCGGTGCACATGGCCGTGCTCTTACCCCAGTCACGCCCAGGAATCCCCAGGAATACAGTGGAATGCACGTTTTGGCACGCCGACCTCCTAGTCCTCGACACGTCGTTTCACCCCTGCTGCTATTCGAGCGCTTTGGGGTAACCTTTTCGTTTTCTGTTCACAGGTCTCAGTACGGTCCTGTCCACGTGGCCGTCTGCCCGTGGCCTTTCCCACCTGGCTCTCAGTCCCACATTGCTGTTGCTTCAATTGCCAGCTGCTTCTAGCAAGAGCTCCTCCTTCGCCTCCTCGTGGTTTGAGGCCGAAGGTGTTTAGTTCCAAGTCGCTTCACTCGGCATGACTCCGTCATTGTTCCCATTCCCATTCCCATTCCCATTCCCATTCCCATTCCCATTTCTCTTCCTCCTCCTCCTCCTCCTGCTCCTCCCCTATCGCTCCTCCAGCTCCTTCCCTGCCGACACCTCTCTCCCCTCCTTCTCCTCCTCTTCCTCCTCCTCCTCCTCCTCCTCCTAGGCTGCCGCTTGAGGGAATCGAATATCGCCCAGCCGAGCGGCTTGCATAATCGTACCCGAGGTAGTATTGCGCCCCATACCCGCAGGCTTCGGGGGGCAGGGGGGCTTGGGGACCCGCCACTAGCGAAGCACGAGCAGGGAAGCAGAGGGGCCACACATCCGATACCGTAACGTGCATTGTCTCTTCGTCTTCAGATGGATTAGTTTTGTGCCGCATTCGATTCCGAGATCTCGGCATCTGCAAGTGTGACCTCCAGCCAAACAAGACGACCACGTATTCGACGCACCCACGCAACAAAAACGCAAGGCCGCCAGGATGAACATTTTGAGAGGCTTATCATTATCACCCCCGCGGGGACTCGGGCAGAGACCAGAAGATCAGCGCACAGAATTTGAGAAAGGTTACATGCTGGAGTACCTCGAAGAACAACTTAAGGACCATACGTTGGAGAGCCAGCGCGCAAGTTCCCGCAACGGAGCGACGCAACCCAAGACGAGAAGGCAGCATAGGTTGCAGTAACAACGGAGGGAGACGGGAGTAAAGAAGTCAATACCTGGCGGGCCCGATGCGGTCCTGGAGAGAGCACCCCGCCAGCGACTGAGACGGAGGCCAACGGGCCGAATTTCATCATCTTCGACGCAGCGCAGTTGAATACAGAGAAGCAAATTGGGAGTCGTTGGGAAGACATCTATTTTGGAGAGCGTGTTGGCGCGAGTCGAAATTCAGACAGCATGGATCAGTTTCAATCGATTTTAGATGAGTTTCCATACGGACTGGAGAATTATGCATATTGTTGTAACCGCATCGAGCCGGAGAATTTGGATGCGGGCAGTCTCTCAGCAAACGAGGAAAAGGGCGTCACAAAATTGTTTGATCACGTATACGAAATATTCATAGACAGTGGAGAATTGCAGTTGACGGACATCATGCTACGGCTTGAACGCAAATAGCCAAGGCATGAGGTGCACGCAGCAATAGAAACATGGATACAGGTCGGTGTTATTGGTTACAATTGTCGCACATATAGATCAGTGGGTTGAATCACCATGTTTGACAGTGGTGCTTGCCGAGAACAGAAAACAACAGTTCGTTTGCTAGGCTCTGCCTTCCGCGGCTGTCCCTTCCCCTCTCGTCCCCCCCCTGGTCGGGTGCCTCCGCTGCCGGCTTGTCCTTTGCCTTTCCTCGGCTGTCCTCCTCTCCTGTTCCCTTCCTGGCTCCTCGGCTTCTCTGCCACTCGGCCCCATTTCGGGGCAGAGGACTCCGCGGAGAGATAAGAGACGGTGCGTCGCGCAGCGGTCCGTGGGGGGGTGGGGGGAGGGAGGAGGCGGTGGGAGGAGGAGCCTGCGCCCGATGCACGCCTGCCTAGAATTTCACTGGCCCCCCAAAGGGGGGGGGGCCCGCCGCCCTACTGAAGGCGGCAGCCGCCCGCCTCCTGTAATCCTTATTCCGCCTCTGCTGAGCAGCCTCCCCTGCTAGCGGGGTAGGCGTGGTACTCCCCTGCTGAGGGAGGGACGCTGTACTCCAGGCAGCCCGCCGACCTGACCAGGTAACGGGCTTGCATCCATGTTCTCACTCAGGGGTCCAGCTCGAGCTCGCTTTCAAGCAAGCCAGGACAGAGACCCCAAAGGCCTTCCGTATCCTTATCCTCCTCCTCCTCCTCCCCCTCCTCCTCCTCCTCCCCTCCTCCTCCTCCTCCTCCTCCTCCTCCTCCTCCTCCTCCTCCTCCTCCTCCTCCTCCTCCTCCTCCTCCTCCTCCTCCTCCTCCTCCTCCCCTCCGCAGAGCCTCCCCGCGCCCTGCGCCTCGAGGCCGGCGCCCGCTCGACGACGCCGCCGCTGCCGCCCCCCGCGCCAGCCCAGGGGGCGCCGCCCGCCGGAGAGCCCCGTCGTGCGGCCCGGGACGGGCCCCGGAGGCCCGCGGCGACGGGGGTCAATCCGCGGCTGAAGAGCCTGCCTGCTTCTGGATGCCACATGCCCTGAGATCCGACGCTCCCAAAAACTGGAGCGGCGGGCTTTTGGCAGTTTTCGGGCTCTGGGGGCCCTCGCCGGGCCTCGGGAGCGTCAAAAAACGATTCGGGACGGAAAACCAGTCCTGGGGAATTGGTCGGGACCTCTGGGGTCCACGCACCAAACAATTGGAGCAGCCGGATGTCTGGGTACCGAACTCACGTCCTAGCCAAAAGCGTCTATGGTCCTATTGGCTGCCTTGGCGTCCATGGACCCTTTCGGGTTGGACGCGTCTGCTATGGACAGCGTGGCCGTTGCGTTCGGCGCGGTGCAGGGTCGGAGAAAGGGTATATCCATCTACGGTATGTTCCTGTTCTAGAGCAGGTCCCATATGGTACTCCATCGCCGCGGCGACGGTGACCGCGACCCGATTTGTTCCCAACCCTCCTTGGTTGGGTATTCGTTTTGACAAGAGCACTGCTCGCGCGTCCTTCCTTCCTTCCTCCCGCCTCCTCCCTCCTCCTGCCCTCTCTTCGCCGTTGCTGGGGGGCTGCGATCTTCGAAACCGTCGCCACTTTCGAGGGCTGCTGGTGGGTCCGGCGGAGTGAGGCACCGCGCAGACCTGAGGTAGACCTCGCCGTCCATGGGGGGCTGCGATCTGCGAAACCGTCGCCACTTTCGGGGGCTGCTGGTGGGTCCAGCGGAGTGAGGCCCCGCGCAGACCTGAGGTAGACCCCGCCGTCCCTCGAGGGCTGCGATCTGCGAAACAGTCGCCACTTTCGAGGGCTGCTGGTGGGTCCAGCGGAGTGAGGCCCCGCGCAGACCTGAGGTAGACCTCGCCGTCCCTCGAGGGCTGCGATCTGCGAAACTGTCGCCACTTTCGAGGGCTGCTGGTGGGCTCGCCACTCTCGAAGGCTGTTGGTGGGTCCAGCGGAGGGAGGCTCTGCGCGGACTTGAGCGGGATCTTGCCGTCCCTGGGCGGCCATGTCATGTTGTTGTTGCCCCGCCGACGTTTCATGCCCCTTGCCCAGTCTTTTTTTTGGACCTTGCGTCTTCCTTAGTGACTCAGATGTTCACTTAGTTACTCATCGTTTTTCCCTTGATTGGTGACCTGCGAACCTTCCGAATGCCGCTCGCAGAAGTATATGCGTCCATGCCACGTCGCCGCCTTCTCGTCAAATCTCCCAAGCTACTCCTACCCCGCATTGCGCAGGGGCTGGGTACGTCGCCAGGGCAAGTGTTAGGGTTTCTTATTCCAGCGCGACAATCAGCCAAGCAGCAGCGGCTTGCCTCTCGTAGTCCATTCGCAAGGTCGCGTTTTCTGAAGGGAGGTTTGCCACCGGCAAGAGTTCCCAGTTTCCCAGGGCCAGCCGTTCGGCTGGCACGCTGCTTCGCCCTGGTGCCTTTGCTAAGGCCACGTGGGCGCATGAGTTGCAGGGGGTGGCGCCTTCCATGCTGCGAGGGCTTCGGAGCTTGGCCCGAGCGGCCAGCAAGACCCGTCAGCGTGGAGTTGGTGCCACTTCAGCTGTCAGGCTCACATGGCCGTCTTAGACCCGGTGAAATCTGGCTTTCGCGAATCGCCGGCAACGCCGCTCTCCGACAATGCCTGGCCAGATTCTGGGACGTCTTGCTTGATGGGGCTCGCCGGGGCTGGCTCTGGGTCTGAGTGCCGATGGCCGCCATTCAGGCCTCCCCTGCTTGTCTGGGTGAGCTTGCCCTGATTTTGTTCCTTGCTTTCCCCTTCTGGCGACTTCTGGGACATGAAAGCTGACGGCCGCGGACCGTTGGGACCCAATCTGGAAGCCCTCGATGAGCCGGTCGACGAGCTTCAGTGGAACAGGGTCGCCGTTCTTCGTTCATGCGGTCATCGCGTCTCTTGAGAAGGATGGCCGTCGAGACGTTGCTTCTATGGCCAGGCTGACCGCTGCTGGCGGATATTGGACGGAGGAGGGGAGACACTCCGCCCAGTTAGCCCCCGACCCCCTCTGCCGCCGTTGCCTGGCTCACACCGTTGTTTGCTTTGCACTTGTAACGGGCCCCCTTGATTTCCTGACTTTGCTGGCCCGCAACGCTGGCGCCGCGCGGCCATCCAGGAATCCTCTGGACTCCCTTCCTTCTGGATCGGTGGGTTTATTCGTGTCTCCTGGTTTCGGTTGCCGCCCCACCCGCGTCTCGCCTGCCCCGTGGCTTGCGCCCCTGGGCCCCTCGAGCCTGGTCTGCTTCCTGGGGGTTGTGCGGCGCTGGCGGCTCAAGGGGTGCCGTGCAGACAGGGCCCTGTCCTGCGTCGCGTGGCTTTTTCTTTTGTCAAGATAGTCTTAAGTCGGGCCAGTCCCTCGATAGGGGGGAAATTCGAAATACTCCAAAAATAGTCAGGGGTGGATTGTTTGACAATTTATTACAAGTCCTGAGCATTTTTTATTATAATCTTTCTGACTTTTCGTCCCAAATCCTCCTGTAGGAGGACACGCCCGACCTGAGGATAGTCCCGAGCTCTGATTTCCGGTGGGATTGTGCGGTGGCGGGCTCTGGGACACCGAGCGAGGGACTGTTCCCCGTGCCGAGCTTGTGGCCAATGGCGAGTGTCCCAGGTTCGCCAACCCGTCTCACGAGCTGCCTGGTGCCATTGGTAAGCATGCTGCTGTCAAGGGTCTTTTCGGTATATAGACAAACGGGGCACCCTTAAACCCTTGGCAACTACGACCTGTGGCGGGGGTGCTGGGAGCTGCTCGAGCTCCTGGCCGCCCTTTGATTGTCTTTCTCGCGTTCCCTCTCGCATTTTGGATGATGCACAAAAGTGTGTGAGCTTTGGGGACTTGGTTCGTTGGAAACACGTAGTTCCGAATTCTGTTGCAGATTTCCTTGCAGATGAGCGAGCGGCCGACAGCTAGTTCCTCCCGATATTGCGGCTGGCCGCAAAGGCTTGCTTTGCAAACCCAATCGGTCTTCGAACGAAATGCCTGCGTTGTCCTTGGGTGGGCGGCCCTCGGAGCAGAACGGGACAGGCCGTTGTCTAAGAGCCCCCCCCCAGCGCAGGCACTTTTAGTGGTGGTTGAAGCTCTGAGGCGGGAGGAGGATGAGCATCCCCTCGTTCGACGCACAGGTGAGTCCGAGGGGGGGTCCTCTGACTAAATTCTCCGCCCTGGCGGCCAGTTCTTGGCAGACTTCGGCCCTTGCAGCATGGGTGTCGGCGTTGCAGTGCACACGTGCTGTTCCTTCTCCTTCCTCATCCTTCTTTTCCTCCTGCTCATCCTTCTGCTCATCCGCCATCTCTTCATCCACATCCTCCTGCTGGGGTCCAAGTCAGAAATGGCACCCGTCGGTGGATAGTGAAAACCTCAGCGGAGGGAAAAGGGATGGGTGGGAGGCGTAGGATATGGCGCGAGCGCGCCTAGCTTGCATCTCTCCTCTCTCCTCTTCCTTCTCCGTCCTCCTCCTCCTTTTCCTCTTCCCTCCTCCTCCTCCTCCTCCTCCTCCTCCTCCCTCCTCCCATCTCTACGCTCGTTTCCTCCTCCTCCTCCTTTCTCCTCCTCCTCGTCCGTCCTCCGCCTCGTCCTCCTCCGTCCTGCTCCTCCTCCTCCACCTTGTGTTCGTCGAGTATGTTGTCTTTGAGCCTTTTTTCAATCGCCAAGTGGTGCAGGGCCGATTATCTCCGGCATGTTGCACTGACGTGTCTCTTGGGCACGATCCGCCTCCTTCTCCTCCTCCTCCTCATCCTCGTCGTCCTCGTCCCCCTCCTCCTCCTCCCTCTCCTTCTCCTTCTCCTCTTCCTCCTCCTCCTCCTCTTCCTACTCCCCCTGCCCAGGCTGCCACTGCCGCGGCGCCTTGCCAAGAGGAGCAGCTGTGCGCCGCTGACGCCGCCCCCGACGAGGAGGCCAGAAGGGAGTGGGGCTGGCCAGCCGACGGACCCATGGGATGGGATCGTCGGCAGAGAAGGGGGGAGGGAGTGAGAGAGGGAGGAAGGAGTTTCAGAGAGGGTGGGAGCAGGATGAGGGGGAGAGAGGCGATGATGATATGAGGGAGATAATGGGGAGGGGCAGGAGGAGAGGAGGAGAGGAGGAGAGAGGAGGGGGACGAGGAGAGGTGAAAGAGGGGTGAATCAGGGGGCGGATGGAGTGATAGTGACTGGAATAGACGGGAATATAAGCATATGTTGGTTTCGATAGTGATGCTGATTATGGAGATGATGGTGATGATGAGGATGCATGTGCTGGCGCTGATGGTGGCGCTGCTGCTGTTGATGATGACGATGGTGGTGATGGTAATGATGCTGCTGCTGCTGATGATGATGCTGCTGATGATGACGAGGACGGCGATAAGGATGATGATACTGTTGCTGCTGCTGGTGATGATGCTTATGTTGGTAACAATGATGAGGAGGATGAAGAGGATTATGAGGAGGAGGAGGAGGAGGAGGAGGCTGATGAGGACGACGATGACAACGACGACAGCAATGATGATTCTGCCGATGATGGAGATGATGGTGATGGTGATGAGGATTAGGATGATGATGAGGATGAGGATGAGGATGATGATGCTGATGATGATGCTGATGATGATGCCGATGAGGACGGTGATGATGCTGCTGATGATGATGATGATGATGATGATGATGTTGATGATGATGCTGATGCTGCTGCTGATGATGATGATTATGCTGATGCTGCTGATGGTGAAGATAATGGTGATGCTGATGGCGCGAGAAGGGCGACTGTGATGTCGGCGACGATGACGATGAATATGACCATGATGGTGGTGGTGATGATTGCGATAACAATGACGCTGACGAGGATGCTGACGATGATGACGACGTGAGCACAGCAATTATGACAGTATAATGAAGTGATCTGCAGCTTTTTCGGACCGAGCCCGCCCAGCGTTGCGCGCCGGGCGTGCCCACGGTTGATGCGTGGTGGGCCCGGCGGAGGACCCGGAGGCCGTGCCCTGGGTCGTCATCCCAGAGAGCGCCCAACGCAGGCCGCCCAACGGGGCGGCAGATGCCGGACCTGTGGTCGGGGTTGCCGCTGCCGCTGGCCGCCACTGCTACGCGGTTTAGGTCGCCCCAGGTTCCAGCGAGGACCTCCTGGGTATTCGCAGGTGCGGAACGACCGCGTGGCAGGCGATTGGGGCTAGGCTCGGGGACGGCAGGTGCACTGGCGGACATGATCGCCTGCGTCGGTTCTCCCCAGAGACCGAAGCGATCGACAAGTTCCCTCCGAGCAGGAGGCCCCACCTCCCAGCCTATTCGCAGGGTTTTCGACTGACCAGGGCACATTGACGATGCTGCCTGCAGGTGCGTTGCAGCAGACGGGGGACGTCCTGCTGCGCTCATGGCTCCTCGGGCTGCCGATAGCAGGAGACTGCGCCGCCGGCGCGGCAGAATGGTGCGAAACCCGCGTCGTTGGGGTCAAGTTCGTGAAGTTCGACGGCCCCGTCGCCGTCGATGGGTTCACCGAGGATGACCTCCACGACAACGAGCTCAAGGAACTTTTGATCGTGGTGCCAGCCGTCTGTCTCCTGTGCGACGCTGGCTCGCTCGCCTCCGTAGACAACGTCTCGGTGACGGTGCGGTCGGCCCTCGGCGAAGAGATGCCCGCAGATGTTGCCTGCATGAGAGTTCGCCCGCGTTCTCGGCGAGGTTGACCGAGAGCTGCGCGGAGGGCGAGGTGATCGAGTTCTTCGACTCGGCGCGCGGCACCCCAGCCAGACCTGCTCGAGCTGGCCGAGCTCGCCCCCCGGCCCGAGGACTGGGACGTCGGAGCCGTCATCGATCCGCCCCAGTCCCCGCTCCGGCGGCGCAGGGCAGCCCGAGGAGTGTCGGCTTACAGTTCTCCGTCGACGGCCAAGTCGATGGGGGGAGGTATCTCGCGGCCGACGAGCGCGACGGCGATGGCGCAGGATACAACAAGGTCGACGCAGACCGCGAGGCTGTGCCGCGCAGGAGTGGGCAGATCGTTCGCGTGGCGCTCACGTGGCAGGCAGCCCGGGCGCGGGGGGGATGGGCCCCTGGCGCGCCTTGGGGGCCGATTGTCCCGCCCGCCAGGCGGCCCACTTCAGGGGGTGGCGCTGCTGCTGGCCGCGCCCGCAGGAAGGGCCGCGCCCGCCGCCCCCCGCAAGGCAGGGGGCCGCTCGGGGCGCGCGGGGAGGCATGGGCCAGCAGCGAGCAGTGCCAAGAGGGCCGCGACCCCTCGGCGTGTCAACTTGTCGCGCGAAGAAATTCAGAGCGCCCTCGGGAATTTTCAGGAGCGAGCTGCTTGGTGCCATCGGTGGCCAGCCGAGGGATTCTCGAGCCATGGCTTCCCGTGGCCTGGCTTCTGCGGCAGCTCCCCCTGCAGGGCCGGGGTCGCTCCTTCAGGCGGGGCCCGCCCGGGGGGCGCTGGCGCTTGCCCCTTCGCCACCAGCCAGCCCTCCTTTCAGAGCTCGCCTGCTGCTCCGCCCGGGGCGGCGGCGCAGCTGCCAGGTTCGCGGCCAGCCCCGGCGCTTGTCCAGACCTGGGCGGCAGAATATGCCATGGCGACGGCGCGCGGGCTGCTCTAGCGGGCCGACGGATCCCCCCGGCTCGAGCAGGTCGCTTGCGCGGCTCCACAGGGGAAGGCGGGCCTCGACCTTAGGGCCTTCGTCGAGGCTGGCGGCCGCGGCGTGGACAAGGCCATCAAGCTTGCGATGCTGCGGGAGCTGGAGAAGGTTGGCGGCTCCGAGATGGTGGTGAGGGAGGCGGGCACACCCTGGGCGACTTTCTCTTCTGGGGCACAGCCTCGAGCTCCAGTGGGGCGGGCCTGGTGGTCAGGACTAATGGGGCAAAGGGCGCCGCGGGTCTTCTCGTGTTCAGCGGGGCCATCGCGCGCGAGCCGCAGAAGTGGCCCGCCCGCGTCGACGCCGCGGCCGTCGCCGAGCTCGGCTGCGACGCCACCGGCGAGCCGTGGAGCGTAGCGCTCTACGGCAGGCAGCGAGTCTGATTCGGGCGCCTCGAGGGCCGCAAGCGCTTCTGGGAGATGCTGGCGTCTCTGCGTGCGCTCCACAGGTCCTGGCAGTGCGACCTCCTCGGCGCCCAGATCGGCCAGTTTCGGAAGGCCGCGCAGCAGTCGGTGAATGCGAGCGGTTCCTGGGCGCTGGCCTGGCTGATCACGGGCCTCCCAGATCCGCGGCCCAGATCGGACCAGGCGACGGCGGCTGGCGCATCCCGCGGAGTTCGCTGCCTCAGTTGCCCACTTGCGCGAGACGGACGTTTTCGAGAACGCCTTCAAGAGAGGGGGGGGGGACGCCGCCGAGGACCGCGGGGGCAAGGGCCGCGTCTGGGACGAGAAATCCAAGAAGTGGACCAAGAAAAAGGAACAGGACGGCGGTGGCGGCAGCGGCGTGGGAGGCGAGTGATCGTCTCCAGATGTGTCCTACAGCTTAAAGAAACACCCAGGCAGGTAGTTCAGGAGTCGGGGCTTCGTCGTCTGCACCCGCGACTCCGACTTCGCGGGCCACCGTTGTTTCGTTGATCTGCGTTCTTTTTGCGTCTTGCTTGCCGACCTCTTTCTGTGCCTTCCTCGAAGCGGGGGTCTTCAAGGGCGCCCCGGCGGGGCATGGTTCCCGCAGGCCCTGTCCAGAGCTGCTCTGGACAGGGAGAAGAAGGAGGAGGAGGAGGCGGAGGAGGAGGAGGCGGAGGAGGAGGAAGTGGAGGAGGAGGAGGGGGAGGAGGAGGAGGAGCAGGAGGAGGAGGAGGACCATTGTAAACCCAAGAGTCAGCAACGATGTTGGAGTAAACCCTCCCTCCAAACTCCCTCTTCATAAGCCCCTACAACGGTTCATCTCCATTGGTGGAACTGCCTCGTTGGAAGACACCTTTTCGGAGACCCTGGAGCATGCCCAAATTTTGTTTTCGGGATTCCAACGCCACGGGTCAACCTGACTGTTGCGTCTGGGCGATTCCAACGCCACGGATCACCGAATCATGCCAGAACACCGTTCCTAGGACTCCAACGCGAAGAACCAATGTAACTGTTGCGCCCACATAATCCTGAATCTTTCCAGCACGCAATTGCTGGTACGTTGATGATTGAAATCCGTGAAACTCTTGAAACTGGTGTAAACGAATGTGCGCGGCGCGAGAGCCACATTTAAAAAAAGAGCCGTCCTCAACCCGTGAAGCCCTTGCAAAGTTAATGCGTTTTCTGCGCCGCGCTCAGGCGATAATCACATTTTGAAAACCACACGCAACACGATGTGCGCCGCGCTAATGCGAGAACCACATTTTGAAAACCATCCGCCCTCGATCCGTGAAGCCGTTGCAAATGGGAAAACAAAGACTGTCCGTCGCGCTACGGCGAAAGCCACATTTTGAAAGCGACCCGTCCTCCATCGGTGAAGCTGTTGCGAATTTTGACGCGTCGGAGTCATAACTGGTGAGGAAATCTTTGGCGAAACGCCCAACCCGCCCTAAACACTGGCCCGGGGATGCGATAGGGAACAGTTACTGCATAAGGAAAACGAATGGAGGAGGAGGAGGAGGAAGAGGAGGAGGAGGAGGAGGAGGAGGAGGAGGA